GGTTTCATTGCACAACGTTCATCTCAGAGGGCATTCGCTGAAGTTGGCACACCAAAAGAGCCATCCCGACTGCAGACATCACTCGTTTGCAGTCAGAGTGTGCAGTACATGGAACTCTCTACCAGCTTACGTGGTCTGTGCCCAAACATTAGTATCCTTCAAGCGTCAGCTTGATGATGCTCTGGCAAACGTTACGTTTCAACACCCAACTACATAACATATTCTCCTGTGCTCGTCAAACATTACTTTACTACTTTACTTTCATGGACTAACTGTGATATCGTGAATCGTGATCCGAACCAAAGTGTAAACACCCTATGGGATTTGTAAAAGCGAAGTCTTTGTAAGTTATATCCCATAATAATGAATTTTGAAGAAAACCATGAAAAATACGGTTTGGCAACAAAACCCGAATTGGTCAATTTGTAGCTGTTCTCGAGTAATGGATTCGGTTCGGTTCGGTTCGGTTCTTACAACCATGGGAAATTAAATTAAATCAGTTTTAAACAGAAGTTGAACAGGAAATCACAACCGAGTTTGAGTAACTCACCGATGGTTGAACGCCCCCAGAATTACGCCCATAAGCATGTGCAACACTCCCAATACAATCGACATCTTCATTTTGATTGAATTGGTCAGCATGATTTTATTCGTAGCCATTTGCCAAACTGGGTCTAATCCAAATGGGTAGGGATAGCCAGCATACATGCGATCTGTCGTTCGATTCACTGTTCTCGGATCCAACTGAACACTTTCAGATGTGGATAAGGTTTCATTGTCGAAAGCCGGGTACCATGAAGAGCCGAATATGTTCAACGAGCGAGAAAACACGTCATTGTATATCAATCCGGTGTAGATGGAAAAGATACCCATGAGTAGGATTATGTAACGACCACTGAAAAACGTTGACCACACCTCGTTCGTAGACTTCTGCGCCTGGGATAACAAGAAAATCAAAGCTATCTGTTATTATTTTCGATCTCAGTATTTGCCAGTAGAGGTCAGTCGTAGAAATCATGACTAAGATAACCCCAGAAACGGAAAATAACTCAGGCTTCAAACAGGGGAAACTTATTTAGATGGTGAGTGTTTGGATTAGCCCATTCGGTTTTTCACAGGCACCAGGCCCTGTTGAGGATGGTCGATGTGAGTTTCACTCCTTGGGAGATTATTAATTCCGCACTATTTGTTTGCATTTTTGTGCGATGGAAATGGTTGTGATAAGCAACAAAGAGCACTGGACAGCTGTTTCGTTCTGTTTGGGACTCGTCAGCAGTGCGTACTTTTTGTGTCCCTGTCAGAACTCGAACCGCGATTCTTCGGGCTGGGACTTCAAACCCTTACCCTTGAGCTACACGNCTTGTGCGAATGGCTCAATCAATTTAGATGGTGATTGTTTGGATTAGCCCATTCGGATTTTCACAAGCACCAGGCACTGTTGATGATGTTATCACAACCATTTCCATCGCACAAAAATGCAAACAAAGTGGGGAATTAACGATCTCCCAAGGAGTGAAACCCACATCGAACATCATCAAGTGCCTGATGCCTGTGAAAAACCGAATGGGCTAATCCAAACAATC